CTCATTGGATAGACTATATTACACATATATAAAACAATACAAAATAGTAGGTATATCGATTTATTAGGAGTAAAAATGATACTTTTTGTGGCGACGCCGTACGTTCGACATTACAGGCGAGGCACAAAAAGTCATTTTTACTCCGAATAGAAAATACTATTTTTTTCAAACGTCACAAATAATTGATGCAATGATTTAAACACAAAGAACGACGCAAATGAAATAAAAACATTTAAAAGTAAGTAATTATATATCGAGAAACTATGATTACGCTCGTTAAAGTTGACACTTAATGTCAGTTTAATATATATATTTTTTCGTATTTTTATGCCTAGGCATTAAAATATTTTTTTATATTGTCAATCACGTAGCAAAAATTAATACTTTGTGACGTTTGAAAAAAAAAATTATAATGATAAAAATTGATCAATAATGAAAAAACATCTGTCCCTAGGCCAGTGGCGCCTAGAGACTGGATCTGGGAGGAATAATTGCAATATTTAAGTAAACTAGTAGATTTGAATGAAATTTTTGCTAAAAAGTTTTTTAGTAATCGTGGGAAAAAAAATAAACTTGGAATTGTAACTATTTTTATTTTATTTATAAATTTCTTTCTGGGATGAGTAATTATTCCCTTTACCACACTCGTATGCACGCCCCTGTCCTATGGTACCAAAAATAATTCATAAAAGCAAAGAAAAACTACATGAACACAAGTATTAACAAAATGGATTATTTTACTTAAAATAATCAATATAGAACTTATAAAAAATGATTAAATTGACCATTAAACTATTAAATTATCATCTGATCCTAGATATAGTTAGATAAATTCAATAAAATTTAGTTTGTGTTAATACAATAAATAAAATATTTAAAAACATAAACTTTTAAACCAAAATAATACTCGTGTTCACAGAGCTATAGTGACGCAGCTGCGCAAGCATAACATTTATAATTTTGATAATCCGGAACAAATTTAGAGTAATTAATTAAAAATAATTAAAAAACTACTACTATAAATAATTGGTAATGATACAAATTTATGAAGAATCTCTTTAATTCTATTAAAAAAATATTACGTTATAATACAACTAACAATTTAATTTTACTTTCTTTTTTTTAATTAATTTAATTAATAATTACAATATCTAATGATCTTTAATGAATGCAAAAATAAAAGATAAATGAGATTGAAGAGAAATTATAACAGATTATTATTATATTGCTCAGCAAATTTTTCATAAAGATTAATGCATAGATTTTAATGATTTAAAATTAATCAAACATGTCTCAAACTAGAGGCGATTAGATAATAAATAGAGCATCAAAATAAATAAATAAAAAGACAATATAAACAGAAATAATGGTCCTATTCATAAAATAAAGTTAATTGTTCTTAACAAGTATTTTATTTTGCAAAATCTTAAGAAAAAAAAAACGGTTTTTATCCAGATTATCAAAATTTTACAAAAAATCAATAACACTAATATGACGCCTGATATACTTAAATAGTTAAGAAGAGGATAAAAACCAGTAAACAAATTTATTGAAACAATAACAATATTAATGAAGCTAACGCACCTTGGTGAGGCATTGAGGAGTATCGAGTCTGCTTTATGTTGAGTGAAAGAGGAAAGTGAGGAGTAGGAGCAACTGTTGGGGATATCCATTGTTAAGAAAATGCAGAGATATCTAAAAAATAAAATAAAAATAATATTAAAAAAAGGAATAAAACGATCTATGCAAAAATTAAAATAAATATATTTTTATTAATGCAATAACTATGTTTTTTAAATTAATAATTTGTATATACCCTATCAGAAAAAAAAAGCATTATAGTGGCTTTTGAAATAACAATTGATGACAATTATTTCTGCCAGGTAGACCACAATATATCATTTATAAAAAATTGGTATAAAAAATTATAAAAAATTAAAGACAGAAATGTTAAAAAAATTCAAAGTTCATATTTTTTTTTAAATTAATGTTTTCACCTTTGAATAATAATCGGTATGTTTGAAACCTTTTTCCTTTTTTTCATTTAAATTTTATTTTTGACAAGTTTTTATATCAATTATTAATAAATTACATATAGGAATAGACGTTGACCTCAAAGACCTGTGCAGCTTGAATATTATGTCGATGAAATTTAATAAGAAAAAAAAAAGAGATAAATAACTTACCAGTGATGAAGGACTGCGACCACAGTAAGAGCTATTAAGTACAGTCCTAAATGGTCTTTCTGAGTCTTTTCCTGCAAATTTCATTCCATTTAAAGCTTTTGGATGTCCACCATAATGTTTGCAGATAGTACAGCTTGTGGATTTTTAACAGCAATTATCCCATCTTATACCTAATATTCCAAAAAAATATTCAGTAAATTTTTACTATACTAATTTTGAAAGATTTTGAAAACAATATTAATAAAAAACAAAAATAAAAAAGATTAATCAAAATTATATTTATAAAATTATATATTTATGGCGTTTATTCTAGTGGGAACTTTATCGTCAAGGTGTGTGACGAGTTTTGTAATTTTAAACCAAACAGTTTAGAAATGTTGACAATTTGGCGAAGGATTTTTTAAATAGTTAATTGTGTGTTGTAATCAGTATAAATTGTGAGAAAATAAATCCGGTAAGTATTTTATCGTGACTTTAAATTAGCGGACCCATGTAATCCGTACCTATATGCAACCAGTAATACGGTATCAGCATTTTATTTTATCCTGCCTATTTTTAATAGTTGTTGGCTGTTCTAATATTGGAGCAAAAGCGCTCGAATATTAGAAAATTTTAAACATTTTCAAGCTGTCCAATGAAATTTTATAAGATAGATAAATATCTTACCATTGATGAAGAACTGGATCCGCTCTAACAGCTATTAAGTAACAGCAGTTCAAAATGGTTTTTCTTGATTTCTTCTGCACAAGTTTCATTCCATTTAAAGCTTTTCTCTGTCCACCATAATTTTTGCAGATAGTATGGCTTGTGGATTTTTAACAGCAATTGTCCCATCGTATACCTAAAATTCCAAAAAAAATTAGGTAAATTTTTACTATACCAATTTTTGAAGATTTCTGAAAACAAGATTAATAAAAAACAAAAATAAAAAAGATTAAACAAAATTATATTTACAAAAATATATATTTATGGCGTTTATTCTGGTAGATACAGTTAAGAGAAAAAAAATAGAAATAAAAAATTTTAAATTCTAAAATAAATAGTTTGAAATGTTGACAATTTGGCGGGGATTTTTTCTGCGCAGCTCGTCGCTCACCGGATCCTGCGCGGTCTTGCAAGGAGCCAAAGATTGTTTGTAGCCCCTGTTCAACATACGCTCGTATCTGTCCTGTCTACTGTTTAATCTTGCTGAAAATGTGTACAGTAAACGTTTTAAAAATACAGTAAAAGATAATATAGAAAGTTTAAAAAAAAATATTTTTTTGACCCGTCCCGGTAGAAGTAGTTCAAATGGCTCACTTGTACCAGGAACGCTCTAAAATTAATAAATGATTTACAAGAGGAGGGAATATCGAGCAATCTTGCTTTCGTTTTTTTTACTTCTTTTATTACCGTTTGAGATCCGTTTATATATACCGGGTGCGACTCAAAAGTGAGTCACAGCTATAACTTTTTTATTGTTTCAGACAAAAAAAAACGAGATTTCGTATGTTAGTATATGAAATAAATTAGGATTGATTGACGTATTCAATTGTTTTTGGTACCTTCCTGTTTCACCGGAAAGGACTACAACTTTTGATTTTTAAATGGCACCCTCGGTATAATTCTAGTTTATTCGATAGAAATAACACTCTGAATAGAATGGCATATCATATGACAACTTTTGACATTTTCGCAAATGGTTTATTTGAAATTGTAAAATGCGGTTTATAACGACAATTTGACTCGAAATACCAAGTGTGGTGGTACCAAATTATTCGTAAAAAATGCTTTCGTAAAATTACAAATAATCTCTCTCAACAATGGATTTAAAATAGTGTTTAAAACAGTTTTAAACCATTAAAAAAACACTTAAAAAATGTTGTTCTACAATCCTACCAGCTACCATACTTTATGAACAGTCCTGGTACAAGTAGTTCAAATGTCTTGAGTATACGAGGGTCGGTATAAAAATACACTGGTGTTCTAAATTTCTTACCTGGTTGATTGTCTAAAGATGGCTCCCTCTTGCGTTCTAGTGACGTAAACTTGGCTCTGGGGTTTGATTTATCGGTATTCCTGAAAACAGTGGCGGATTCTTCGGGAAAGAAGACAGAATACAACAGTAAGTTGTAATTGTGCGCGTTGTTATATTGGTAGGTGCTAGATGCCGTGCCTGACAGTGGAATACCAGTGTTAGCATCTGTAAAAAAGATTTAACAATGGTTATATACAGACTTGGTCATCAGATATGGGCCAATTCAATCATAAAAGATCAGTGATTAAAATTAAGAACAATGTATTTTTTACCAGAGCTGACGCTACTGGTTGGGTTTCTAAGGAGTACCCAGGATTGTCTTACCCAGGTACTGAGGTAGCGCGACCAACTGTCAACGGCCGAATATCCTGACAAAGCCTCCTCTTCGTTCGAACTGCGACTGGGCGTTCTTGATTATTCTAGTTTCTTCTGGAGTGGGCTGCAAAGAGACAGGGGATATCCTACGAGAACTTGCGGCAGTTTGAGGCTGTTTCTTTGGGGAAGGTGTTGCTTAGGCCGTCGGCAGGCAATAACGGCTTGCGGCACTAGAAATAAACACAAAGAAAATGAAATTAGACGACTCAATTCTAACATATGGTGTCCCAATTTTTAATTTTTACAAAAAATTAACTTGGGTTCGTAATAACCAGGAAGTTTCTATCTTTGCTAAGATAGAACATTATGAAAATAAGCGAGAATGTAACAAAAATGGAACACTCTGTAGAGCTTATTTCTCATACATTCTGATTTAACAAAAATATATTTAAAAAATCCAACACGACTTACGTTGCTAAGCTTCATTTCAGGCTCAAAACAGCTTTTGAGAGATTGACTGTACTGCTTGGTCTAAGTATAGGATCTACCGCTGGAATTCCGACCAATGTGAGCAGGTCGGCCAACATGGCGGATTTAAGTCTGACATCTAGCGGACTGTCACAATTTAAAGATGGAGAAAGATTGACTTCTAACAGCCAAGGTTTGAGGTTAGAATCAATTAGGATGTCAAATCCATACAGTTCTGTAAAAAAATTGTGAAATATTGTACTGTGTATTTTTTTCTGATGCCAGTTTTTAAAAACCTGTTATTCTCGCTATTTAAAAAAAACTAACTTACCGAAACAGTTGTTTTGGTGGGGCACAAACATTTTGCAGGCAGATATAATAGAATTAGCTGAAGCCAAAACAGCCTTGATAACTACATCTTCGATTTGTGACATCAGCAATGCTGTGTCCTTGCCCTCAGACTTTAAGTGACGTAACAATGCGCTTAAAGTCCATTTGTGTCCGACATTTTCGGCACTAGGATCGTCTGACCTACCATAGCAAATAGTTCAAATCAACTCTTAAATTAATTAATTTATTAAAAGGTAAAGTAAAAGCAAAACAATTTCCGATTTACAACATCAATGTACAAATAGAAAATCAAATATCTGATGTCAAAATGTCAGATATTCTTTTATTTTATAAAGAACTAGCGTGTACCCGCGACTTCATTGGCGTCGAATTAATCATTTGTAATGGTGATGATAAAGCAAAGCAAGAATTGCCATTAACATACAAACTGGATAAAATTTTCTCACATTTATGTCAGCATGAGAAAAAAACAATATGGCGATATTATTATATAACTTGGTAATATTTGAGGGGTAGTTTCATCTCGTTGGAATTTGACTTTCGAAATCCGTTTGCCAAAATAAGCTTTTTACGTCAAAACGGTTTTAAGCAGAATGGTTTAATCAATTACCCAACTTTTGGAACACCCTGTATGATACCCAAAATTTCAAAATATGTAAAAAAACAAAATAAATTATGGGCGTCCAAGCATTTTCCCGAAGACTAACCGTTTTTAAATAACAAATATTGTAATATTTGAGGGCGTTTTCACCCTCTTGGAATTTGAAATTCGAGAAACCCCTCCTTATCGAACATCACACCCCAGTCAATCCGTTTGCCAAAAATCAGCTTTAAACGTTAAGCAGTTTAAGCAGAATCGTGATTACTCAATGGTTATATTTTATGAAACAGCCTGTATAAATTTTTAAAAAATCTTAAAATATGTAAAACAACAAAATGAAACTATACGTGTTTAAGAGTTTTTCGAAAAACTCCACACACCGGTTTTTAGAAAAAATATTTTAATATTAAGGGATAGTTTCACCCCTTAGAATTCGAGTTTCAAAAATCCTTCTTATCGAACCTCTACACCCTAAGTCAGTCCGTTTCCAAAAATCAGCTTTTTACGTCAAGCGCTTTAAGCAGGATCGTGATTAATCAATGACCAGATTTTTCGAAACACCCTGTATACATTTTTGAAAAATCTTAAAATATGTAAAAAAACAAAATAAAATATACGTGTTTAAGCGTTTTTGGTTGTGAATGGCGCAATATGACCAACGTAGCGATAATAAAATTCGGTTTAAAGTTTAAACTAATTTTTGCAGCTTTAATCTAAATAAAATACCTGTTACAATCATTTGCTCTATAAAGTAAAATTAAGAGCTGCTGGGTATCTTAAATTATACAACAAATTTAAACATTTTTGCCAAAATTTCATTTAGTCAGGTTTATAGACTTTAGTGTCAATGATATGATTGATGACGTGCATCGGAAAATGTTTTGCGATTACTATACTAAGGGCTGGCAAAGGTTAGTCTTGGGTCGAGATTTCCGTATGTAAGAAGAGTACAATGCGTTTATAATGTACTGAACAAAGAGAGGACAGTAAACACGTTGCCAAACGTATGAAATAAACCGAGAAACTGTGCACATCGCTAAGAGACGTGGAAGCACGCAGATTTGTCGCAGTTGACCGGTCGACCCAATCAATACCTCTGTCCACAGCCTCTGTCAGTACTTAAAGTTCCAGGAAAAGTTGTACGTCATGCGTTCAGCTTAACGATTTAATTACGTCTCGTGATACTTAATTTGTTTATTTATTAACGAGTCGTTGTAATTTTCCCTATAGCTTGAATTTTTTTAAGTGCAAGCTAGAAACACTTGCATTTTTGGTAAAAATAAGTAGAATTGAGTGAGTGTAACCTAACCTAACCACTATCGAGGTCGCGCTATTAGAACTCTGAATTCAAAAATCGATATCTCGAAATCTATTAGAAATAATAGATTGTAGTTTTTTCAAGAACTTTGTTAATACTTCTGCTATATTTTCTTTGTAGACAGTATGTGAAAATCTTTATCAATAAAAAAATTACACGATTGCTGAAAATTGCTATGCTCTAAAAGTAAATGGATGGATTGTTTACAATTTTTGAATGGATAAAACAACCCTATCGAATTTTTCTTATGTAAACTAGTGTAAAATATCCGATCTTGAAAATAAAAAAAAAAGTTTCAGTATCTAAAGTGGTTCTTGAGTTATGGCCTGTTATGTGTCAAAAAGTTGAGTTTTTAAATTACCGCGATTACTGACGTTTTCTCGTTATAAAAAAATGACACCCTAACGATATCCCTATAATTCCATTTCAGATGCTCAGAAACATGTCTAATGATTTTATCTAGTTATCTCTTGAAAAGAAAGTCTTTTAAAAATAAGCGGTTTGCGATCGTGATTTTACTTTACTTGATAGGGAAAGGCGTACCGGCAACGCCGCAATAGCACACCGTCGCATTTCTCTCACTCCGACTTAATAAGATCCTTATGCGATTTACTTCCACACATGTAATGCCGACCCAAAAGTAACAGTTGCCAGCACGGTATACTTACTTAACGTAATCCTATGATACTTGTTAATACTGTAATTACAGGTGCATGCGGATTTACAGCTGCTTATGACTAGAATCGTATTTGACGGTTGCGAACCTCACCAACCCCTCTTCGTAAATATAGATCAGCAACGGATCAAAACTCGTCACCACAACGGCGTACAACTCCGTCGCACTTATGCTTGCAGCGACCAGGAACGGATTCGAAATATACTTGGCCACGACCCACTCTTCTAGCGACACCTGGTTGGGGTTTCCACTATGAATATGCCCCGCCCTCTGCTGGACGCTACCGGCTTGACTATCCACGGACCCCTGACCTTGTGGTGGACGGAACACAGCTCTTTGAACTCGGTGGGCATGACGAAGGTTTGGGGGATGAAATCGAAGTGTTTGGGGCCTTTGAGGTGTTGCATGCGTTCGATGTTCTTGTAGAGACGGTCTTTTCGGGTTAGTTCGTAGGATCGGGGGAAGTGGTTGACTCTTTGGTGAGGGGCCAAGGCTCTTAGGATGCCTGGATTAGTAAAGATATTTGTAATTGTAAAGACATCTAAATAAAGGGAGACAAAACAATTTACATTTTATCGCGATCACGAACCGTATTCCGCAAATATCGATGATGACAGAGTTACGCGGTATGTGATAGAACACGGTTCGAGTTCCAAATGTTATTATTGTTATTAATGTTTTTTGGGTACCTATAGAAACGTTAAACTAACTATTTGTCTAGGTATATAACTTTAATTAATATACATAGATTGTGCCAGGATTTTTTTTACCTTTAACCATGCTTACAGTAGCGATTTAGATACTTTTAGTTATAAGTAGATTATTACAAAAATACTATATATTTTTATTTGTTGGCGCTTTCGATTGTGAAATTAGAGTTACCCTACTGAGCCAAATGACAGAAAGATAGACGAAACTCAACCGTGTTGTCATATTTATGTACCCATCTCTTTTTAACTCTCATAAAAGTGCCAAACCATGTATGATTCTAATGCCCACGCACCGTTTGTATAGATTCTAAAAAATTGAGTTTTATACTAAAAAACTACTTTAAATAAATAAGTTAAAGTTAGATTAGATTAAATTTTTGAGGCAGTATAAATTTTAAGGCTTCATTTCTCCGAGGGGGTATCAAAGTTTTTAATACTAAATATTTAATGAAGTTTACTTATTGGTCAGTTATTGTGTTGCAATAATAAAAATTTTACTACCTTATACAGAGTGTCTAAATATTTATTTTAAATAATTATTAGCTTTAAACGGCAATAACTTGTTTAATTTAAATGAAACACCCTGTATATTTTATGAGAATCAGATGCACAATTTAATTGTCTATCAAATTGTAGTATCCCATTTTTTACCTATCTCTTCAAGTTTCCGTAGAAAATGCATTTTCTTGTAATTTAGAACTCATTTATCCAATATACCCATGGAATACTGACATTTTAGATTATTTTTTAAAGAGATGTACACTAAATTTTTTAAAGGTACAGATACTAATATTGTCATTATAGTTCATTTATTACATTCTAGAAGATTTATGCAACCCTTCAGGTTGGTCAGCTGATTAGGAAAGGTTGGACCCGAGGGAGATTTCATGGCGGCGAACCACATAGGCGCGCTAAGAATAAATTGCTTCAAAGAAACCTAGAAAAATTAAAAAAAAAACATTTAAAAAACGAATGAAAAAAAAATTAAATAAAATACTTGAGGTAATTATTGGGAAAACTGGAAATCGTCCGATTTTCACCAAAATTGGCTTTTTTCTTGGCGGTCTCTTACCGTTTTTTAGAAAAACGGAAAATCATTTCAACATCGAATTTTTCTTAATTTCTCATATTTTTAAGGTTTTCTAGCACATATTTTGTTAGGTATTCAATAAACAATGATGTTATTGCTATTTTCTGTTACTTTTTTAACCAAATCTATGCATAATAGAGGAAAATTTGCTAAATTAAATTTGTAAACAATCTGAAAATGTTAGGTTATGTGTTTCTGGCATTTAAAGCAACGTTGCCAATGCTACACCTAAATTTACCGTGTTTTTTTCGCTCATTCTGGGATTACGAAAGGCGGTCGCCAGAAGAACGGCTCCTTCCCATAATTGCTATTTTACCAACGAGATCTGACTATTTATAACCACGAAGTTGCACGAAAGAGTTTTGATTGCATTGGTTACAACTTCTATGCGGAGGGTGTTAATTTTTTTTTAAAAAGATTAACCCCCTCAGCTAAGAAGTTAAAACCAATGCAATCAAAACTCTTTCGTGCAACTTCGTGGTTACAAATAGTCTTTATATAACTTCTTTGCGGAGGGGGTTAATCTTTTGATATAATATAACAACAAAAGATTAACACCCTCCGCATGGAAGTTGTAACCATTGCAATCAAAACACTTTCGTGCAACTTCGTGGTTATAAATATAATAGAACAAAAAAAAGATTAACCCCCTCCGCATAGAAGTTGAAACCAATGCAATCAAAACTCTTTCGCGTAATTTTCTGGATATAGGTAGGTATATTTAATTATTGTCGATCTCATAATAGGTAATTTATTTAAAATCCCTAATCACCCGAAAAAATAGAAGATATGGAAACGTTGCAAATTTTCAAATTTCTAGATTAGGTCTAGAATATATTTGTCTCTCTCATTACATAGGAGAGAGAAAGAAGGATATATCAAATGTCAAACATCCATCTGGTCTCAATTTTCTTTGTTATTTTGTTAAGAAAAGTGTTTTTCAGTAAAATTTTGGACATTTTTCTAGCCCCAATCAAGTGTGGCTTTTAGATAAACTATAATAATAATGAAATTATTACTTTATAGGACCGAAATTAAAAAAAAAATCAACGTTGAAATAATTTTCCGTTTTTCTGAAAAACGGTAAGAGACCGCCAAGAAAAAAGTTCAGATTCGTAATCTACGACTTCAAAATAGGGTGTATACCAATTTTGGTGAAAATCGGACGATTTCCAGTTTTTTTTTGGCAGATATACAGGGTGTATCTTAAGTAAGTGCAGGTATTTTAACTGATTATTGAAACATGCCAAATAATGTTTTAAACAATTTCAAACGTTCCAAATAATATAAAAAGCTTTAAAAATAATACCTTGCATGGAATTATATATCAAGAAACTATGGTTACGCTCGTTGAATTTGACACTTGATGTCAGATGTATCAAATATTTTCGTACTTTTATGCCTAGGCGTTAAAATGACTTTTTAATATTGTCATCACGTCGCAAAAATTAATACTTTTTCGTCATACTATATTGTTATATTATTATAACATAAGCAAAATCAGAATGGAAAAGATGCATATAACGTCCGCCGGACGTTATCATAACGGCCGGCGGCCGTTAAGTTTCTAAGGTAATCGTAACGTCTGTCACCTGCAACAATGACTATTTATTGTCAGTTGGACTTTTCAAAAATTGGGAAAATAGACCATAGCGAGATGTCGCGAGAAATTCCGTTGGAAATACAGGAGGAAGCGGCTGCGGCTACTCAAAATTTACTTCCGACTATAACCAGAGAGAGATATCAGCAGGAATATGACAATTTTTGAAGTGGCGGCAGGATAGAAGTATAAACAGCGTAAATGAAGCGGTATTGCTGGCTTATGCTAAAAGAATGTCTGAAATGTATTCTCCTACATCACTGTGGACAAAGATATCCATGCTGAAGCTTGCGTTGAGAGTATATGAAAACATCGACATATCAAGGTAAAAGCCATTATATTCTTCTTCGATATTTAATCATACTCATCTAAATTATATTTGTTCATAGATTTGGTAAACTGTTCATGTTTCTGAGGCGCAAAAACGAAGGTTATTCACCAAAAAAAGCCAAAGTTCTGTCGGAGAATGACATAAATAATTTTTCTACTGATGCCGATGATTACACCTGGTTACTCGAAAAATTGTATTGGTGCTTGGTATTCTTGAGCTTGTAGGCGCAGCGAGCTTTGGTCACTCACAGTTGATGATTTGAAGATTCGGAGAAAAAATATTCTTGTCTCATTAAGAAATACTAAAAATAAGAAAGATAGGAAATTTCTTATTCCAAAAACGGGCCTTCCGTTTGATGCCTATGGTTTATACAAAAAATACATCAACCTGCGTCCTCGTAACTTTGACAATCCAAAATTTTTCATTGGTTACAAGAAAGGCAAGTGTGTTAAGCAAATCGTCGGCATACATACCATCTGGGAGCGTACCGCAGAAAATTGCAAAAATTTTTGAACTTGGAGAATCCAGAACGTTATACAGGGCATTCATTTCCGTAGATCATCAGCAACCATGCTCGCCGAAAATGGTGGTGATTTACTATCGCTAAAAAGGAGCTAGGAGGATGGGAGTCTTCAACAGTGGCAGAAACTTACATAGAAAATCAAGTTTCCAAAAGAATGAAAAATAACAAATCAACTTTTTCATGATAGCTCCAAAAATAATGTGTCTTTAGTGGATACAAATATTTGCCATTCTTCAGTAGCATCATCTTCTTCTATAAAATCTGTAAATCCCTGGGAAGGATTACAGATTTCTAAGAACAACAAGTGCACTTTTAATTTCCATGTTCATTATCATGAAAAAAATGAATTTTAGTATAAGACATTATGTATTTTTTTATCCTTACTTGTGTTATTGTTCAATAAAATTTGTTATTAAATAGTAGTGTTTATTGCTCTAAAAATCTGCAGTATGACGAAAATTAGAACGCAACATACGAAAGCCGATAACAAATAACGGCCTTGGCTGCTTATGATCCTCGGCTATCGCCTCGGATCACAAACTTCAGCCCGGCCGTTATTTGTTGTTTATCGGCCTTATTACGTTAATAACTATTGTGACGTTTGAATTATTTTGGCAAATATACAGGGTGTCCCTTAAATAAGTGCAAATATTTAACTGATATTGATTATTGAAACATGCCTATATGAGCGAATAACTTTGAAGGGAAACGCAAAAGTAAAGATGTGATTATTTTTGTGCCTACTTATTTACAACCTGT